GCCTGCGCCAACACACCCAGCAGTTGTTTTTATTTTGAGACAGGGTCTCAGTAAATTGCTGAGGGTTTCACAAAATTGCTAAGGCTGACCTTGAAATTGACCCTCCTGCTTCAGCCTCCAGAGTAGCTGGGATTACAGACCTGTGCTGTCACATCCAGTTTAAGGATTTTTAATTTTTTAAATTTATCTATTTCATTCTCATTTGTGCCTTTGTAAAAGGGGGGGAAATCACTTCAGAGTAAATGAAATTGTAATCTAGATTTCCACTTCCATTCCCCACCTCATGAGCTTCTCTAAATCCCCATTAGATTCTTTTTTCACTTTAAAAAAATCAAAGACAATCCCTCCCCACCTGATGTTAGAATTTAACACATACAAATAATCACCATGGAACAGAAACGGTAGAACAAGTGCACAGTAATACAATGCAGGGGTTAAGAACTTGAGCTGTGAAGAAATATTGCCCCTGCGTTCCTCAGCCTGTAAAATGGGGACCATAAAAAGTAGCAGCCTCATAGGGCTACTGTTGGCATCATTCAAATGAGGTCATGTAAATCACCCAGGCACTGACTAACACTCAGTAAAGAATAGCTATTATTACCATTAGCAAGACATAGGAAGGGATTATTTGTCATTATCACAGGTTTTTTGTTTGTTTGTTTTGATACTGGGGATTGAACGGGGCACTTTTCCACTGACCTACATCTCCAACACTTTTTATTTTGTTCTATTTTATTTGTTAGGTACTGGGGATTTGAACCCACTTTATCAGTGAGCTACAGCCACAGCACCCTCACCCCGCTTTTTAAAGTATTTTCTTAGTTGTCAATGGACTTTATTTATATATATGTGGTGCTAAGAATCAAGCTCAGTGCCTCACGCATGCTAGGCAAGTGCTCTACCACTGAACCACAACCCCAGCCCATCCCCAGCCCTTTTTATTTTTATTTGGGACAGGGCTTGCTAAATTGCTAAGTCTGGCCTCAAATATGTGATCCTCCTGCCTCAACCTCCTGAGTTACATGTGTACACCATCATGAAGCCTCATATCACAGTGTTACTAACAGAAGGAACTTGTGTAACTTTCTGATACAAGAGAAGGCAGCAAGCCTTTGTGTTGGTCACTCTTCATTGAATACAGTCTTAAAAGGACTTGGGAAAAAATGTCCCCTATACAGCCAATGTTAAACTGTGTCTCTTTCTGAAAGCTCAGAAAATTTAAAAATAGTGGAAAAAAATAGCTCTGGGATAAAAAGTTTCAGGTAAGACAATACTGTGGTAAATGAACTAAACAGAAATTAATTTGAAACTGGACTTTGATCTCAAGTGAACCAGCCAGTGCAGCCCAGTCCTTACTGGCCCCGCAGAGAAAAAACAGGCCTGTGTCTTATCTCAACTGTGATCTGACTAGATATGATCTCAGCTTTGAACACTGCCTAAGCTCATTTCAGATGCATAATACATATTAAACAATACTTAGCAGGGAGCTTTGGTTTGGGGTATGCACCCCAACACTGAGGAGCTGACATAGGAAAATGAAGACTTTCATTTCTCTATTCTCTCATTTTAAAAAGTCATATGAGTTTCCTTTTCTGTCAGGTCTAGCTCAAATAACTGTAATATACAGATAAATAAATATTGTCTATGTGTGGAGGGCCACGGTTAATTATATTATCAAAGCATTCTTCGGTTTAAATAATTCACTGTAGCCAGGTACAGTGAGGCATGTAATCCCAGCAACTCAGGAAGCTAAAGCAGAATGGTCACAAATTCAAATCCAGCCTCAGTAATTTGGAGAGGCCCTAAATAATTTGGCAAGACAATTTTTCAAAATTAAAAAAATAAATAAGTAAACGCAGTGGTAGAGAGCCCCAGAGTTCAATCTCCAGTAACAAAAACAAACTCAGTGCAGCATTTCTTTTATATTAAGTCCCCTCCCTCATCAGGTATTGTGGCTCACACCTATAATACAAGCTACTTGGAGGCTAGAGCAAGAGGATCACAAGTTCAAGGCCAGCCTGGGTAATTTAGTAAGACCCTGTAAAAAAAATAAATAAGTAAATAAAGGGGAGTGGAGTTGAGGTTGTAGTTCAGTACTGCAAACAAAGTAAAACTAAAAAAAAAAAAAACCCTCTCTCCACATGGTCAAAATTTTGAGCCTTCTCCAAATGTCAGTCCATTACTCTTCTGGTCTTTAAGAAAAAGGAAAAGGAGGAGAGAGTGCTAATGAAACTTTTCTTGTTAATAACACGTGTTTGTCTAAATGTATTACAGTTCCAAAGCCCTTTTAGACTCACTGTGTTATCTTGGGTAAGCCTTGTACAAGGTGAGAAAAGCTGAGACTCAGAGATGAAGCAACCAAGCCCAGTGGCCTGGAAGCTGGAGAAAGCAGCCCCAGGGCTCCACTTAACTGGTTCTGTGCTGCTGCTGCTGCTGCTGCTGCTGCTTTTCCTCCCTTTAGCAATTTGGTTCCAGACATCCTCTCCTTTCCTTCTCAGTTAATTCTGTCTCTTTGTTCTTTGTTTTACAGTACTGGGAATTGAATCCAAGACATTCTAATACTGAGCTCCATACCCAAATGTAAAAATAAAATATTTACATTTTATTTTTAAAATTTTTTTATTTATGTATTTTTGGTGCCAGGGATTGAACCCAAGGATGCTTAACCACTCAGCCACATTCCCGGTCCTTTTCATTTTTTATTTTGAAACAGGGCCTCTCTAAATTGCTTAGGGCCTCACAAAATTGCTGAGGCTGGCCTTGAATTTGTGATCCTCATGCCTCAACCTCCCAAGTCTCTGAGATTATAGGCACACACCACCCTGCCCGGCTTTTACTGTTTATTTTGAGACAGGATTTTGCTAAATTGCCCAGGCTGATCTTGAGTTTACTGTCCTCCTGCCTCAGCCTCTCTAGCTGTAATCCCAGCAATTTGGGAGACTGAGGCAGGAAGATAAGGTCAGTCTGGACAATTGAAAGAGACTATCTCAAAAACAACAACAACAAAGGACTAGGGATGTGGCTCAGTGGCAAAGCACCCCTATTTCAATCCCCAGAACCTTCCCCCCAAAATTAGGTTAATCACTTTATCAATGTGAACCAATTATCTAAGAATAATATTTGCATATTAGCTGTACTGGAATCCCCAGTTAGATGTGTTCTGCTTCTGCTTGTAAATTCCGGAAATAGTTAAACTTCACATGACTTCAATAAGAAAGCTAAGGCTTAGAAAATGTCTCTGTACAGACTTGATTTTTAATTGTGGTGAAGCCCCATTCCTCAAACCACTTATTCAACATTAACTCATTCTATAAACTTGCATCTGTTAGGTTCAGTAGGTAAGATGAGTTAGATGCAGGAGTCTCAAAAAGAAAGTCAGAGTTTAAAAGGGGAAGGTCAGTACTCTGATCCAGTTCTCCAAGGGTCCCCCAGCTTTCAGGGGTAGGGCCTTGTCTGAGATGGAACCAGCTTCCCTCCCTCTCTTCAGCCACACTGGCTTTTTCTTTCTTTTCTTTTTTGGTCCTGGGGATTGAACCCAGAGGTGCTTTACCACTGAGCTAAATCCCCAGTCCTTTTTACTTTATATTTTGAGAGAGGGTCTTCCTAAATTGCAGGGGCTGACTTTGAACTAGTGCTCCTCCTGCCTCAGCCTCCCAAACTACTGAAATTACAGGTGTGCACCACTGCTCCCAGCTTTCTTTCTTTCTTTTTTTTCTTTAATTTCTTAGAGCTCTTCTCACTCCCTCCCCCACTAGCTTTTGCATAAATCCCAGTTCCCTTTACCTTGAAAGTTCATCACCTCTGGCTCCTCTCAGGTCCTTCTTCTCCTCCTCCCCCTCCACCTCCTGCAGGGCTCCCCACTACCTCAGGAAGTTTTTTGTTTTCCAGATTTGGCTAAATCTCCCTCCCTCTACCACCTGCCACCTCAGCACATTGGTGTTTTATAGGAACCCTTGTGATTAACATTTGACTGTCTGCTCTAAAGTCCCTAAGTACCTGGAAAGGCAGAGGCTGACTTGTTTTGTTAGATGCCAGCGCCTGGCACACAGGAGGCTCCAAGAATGAAAAAGAAACAGATGTGCATAGACCTAAGCATGGAAGGCCTCTGTGGAAGGAGGGGTAGGGGTGGGTTAAGGGGTTCTTTAATACCAGGCCTCTTGGCTTCTTTCTCCGGGCTTCTATGACACTGAAATTTTGAAGTTGTTTGCCTCAAGTCCCTAAGACTGCAAGTTGCCAGATAGCAACAAATTCCAGTTATTTAGTGTTTGTGGCCTCTGCACCCAACTGTGCCTGTTACTTAGCAGAAGACACACAGGAAAAACAGTAAACGATAGCCATTAACTAGAATTAACAGATACATTCTGGAGGGTAAGACAAAGTGGGGGGATCAGAACAATTTTCAAAACTATGATTAGGCTTGAGCTGACTCTAAAAGAGAACGCGAACCATCCCCAAGCAAAGAGAAGGAGACGAAAGAAAGAAGAAAAACAGTTAATGAGGAAATTTGCCCTTCTTCTCCCGTTTCGGGGGAAATAAAAAAGAAGAAGAAAAGAAACCCTTAATGAAAGTCTCAACCTTTCTAGGCCTTCACGACTCTATGGTCACCGCGGAGCCTCTACAGTCGCTGCGGTGCCTCTGGCATTTCCTGACCAGTGTGCAACTTTGCAGGGGCTCAATGTACTTAGCTCCCCTCTTGAGGAGAAAATATTTAGGGTCCTCAGAGGAAAGTCGCGGGAGGACCCTTGTAAATAGGGAGGGAGGGACGGGGGTCTTGGCTTCCTTCCATTCACTGTCATTGCACGGAGGCACGGTCACTCCACGCTCGATCTAGCCCCAGCCGCGAGGCCCCTCAGAACCCGAGTCCGCGAGCGCGCAGCCCCGCCCCCGGGAGGACGAGGCCCCGCCCCGCCGCAACGGTCCGGACACGCAGGCGCGGTGGCGCGCGCAGGATGGCGCGCGCGGGGGGCGGTGGCGCGCAGGGCCGCTTAAATAGTGGTGGAGGGGGCGGCGCGCAGCCGCCGCAGCGCTGCTGCTCTGTCCGCGCGAGTCCTCGCAACTGTCTCCGCGTGGCGCGAGCCTCGAGCCTCGAGCCTCGCTCTTCCCCCTGACGGCGGCGACAGGAGGAGCGCAGGCGAGAGGCGGCGGGCTCCATGGAGAAAGGCGGACGCCGGGGCAGAGGCGGCGCTTCCATCCCGGCACCCGGGCTCCAGTGACCCGCGCTCGCGTCCTGCACCGCGTCGGAGCGGCCGTCGGCCCCGGGACTAACCGGCCTCGCTGCCACTCCCCGCGCCGCCGCCTTTCTACCGGCGCGCCGAGCCACCGACTCGCCCTCGCCCCTACTCCCCGGCGGGGTGGCGGCGGCTGGGCCCCCTCGGCGGCGGCCGGAGCAGCCTCGGCAGCAAGAGCCCGCCTCTATGATGAAGTTCAAGCCCAACCAGACGCGGACCTATGACCGCGAGGGCTTCAAGAAGCGGGCGGCGTGCCTGTGCTTCCGGAGCGAGCAGGAGGACGAGGTGAGCGGCCGGCGCACGCTGCGCTCCGCGGGGCCTCGGGGGCAGCGGGCGGGTGGTCCTTCGCCGGGTCCCCGCCGACCCTCGGTCTGCGCCGCGCCGCGCCGGGGCGATTGGAGCCTCTCGCTGCTCCCTCCCACCCTCCTTCCTTCCTTTCTCCCGGCTGATCGCGGAGACAAAGGGGCTCGCCCAGTCCGGCCCTCTCCGTCGGGGCCAGCGTGAGGACGGGAGGCCGAGGCGCCTCCTGGCCCCCGGGAAGGTCTCACCTAGCGCGAGTCACCATCTTAACGTGCGAGTTGAGCTTAAAGCTGGATAAACCTCCGGTGCTAACGGAGGGCAGAAATGGCGTGTTGCAGCCGGGCCCTTCCTTTTATATTTCCTTTCCACGTTACTGCAGCTTGCGGTTTCGGATTAAATCTAGGTTGGTTTGTGGAACAAGTAGCAGGTCCTCCCCGGGCTTTAAAGCGAAATCGCCTTCGGTCTAGTCAAGTGGACCCATGAGCTCAGATACAGTTGGCATAATTATACTTCGTTTTAAAAAATGGCCTCTTAAAAGTTTTTCTGACTGCAGAAAGGTGGGTACTGAAAGATGTCGGATGTCACCCAAAGGACTAAAATAAACTAGAAATGGGGAAAGTTGCCATTTTCAGACAATAACTGCTAGTCTTAGCATATTTATCAAGGCTTCTTTACTTTGCTTTTTGGCTTGACATCTGGAAAAGAGCGGTCTTCTCCAAAAGCAAGCAGTCAATCTGCTACATAACTCCTCAGCTTTGGGTTCATAGGCTGGGGCGAGGTGGGGGGGTTTCCCAGAAGAGCGGTTTTTACTTATTTCACTTACGTTTACTTAATTTTAAAATAGCTCACTGTTTTGAATTTGCTTAGGGCAATAAGCCACTTGGTAGCTGATGAAAATTTTTAACACTGTCGTTCCTAAAATGATTTGATAGGAGAAAAGTTAACATTCAGATTTATGTTTCCATAATTGTGACCAATAAAATACCAGGCTAAAGCTGGAGATGGGAATTTAATGGCTTCCTTATTACTAGTCTCTATAGTTCTGGTAGGTACGACTTATAGTATACACTCAGTGGTTAGTTCTTGCTAACAAAAAAATCACGTGCCTGAAAATTGTACTCTCTAAACTTTTGCCACCCACCCCACTCCCCCTTTTTTTTTTATTTTAAAGACACTATTGCCTTTAGGGCTAATCAACCTTTGGGTTGGTTCATCAGTGCTCTTTTGGAGTCCTTTAAATGTTAAACCTAAGTTCTGAAGGTGTTTCTAGAGAAAACCAGTGTCTTTCAGATGAATCTACATAGAATTAGAAACTACCAGGAGTAGGATCTCTAACATTTGCAGAATGAACAAAGCCAACAAGCATCAACTGTGTACTACCAAAAAAAAAAAATTAGGTTTTTGAAGGAAGGATCATATTGGAGGAACACATACTTTGTAGAAGAATATAGCTAACAGTGATCACAGTAAGAATCAAGGATCTTGTCTGACTTATTTTATGATCATATTCTTAGTTGAGAGTTTACAATGTGCTAGGTACAGCCAGAGGAAAGTTTGTTACATGTAATCCCTTTAACACTTGGAGGTAGTACTGGTTTTTCCTGTTAGAGGTGAGGAAGACAGTACAGAGCATAAATGCTTTGCCCAAATGACACAGTTAGAAAGTGGTGGAGTCAGAATTCGGTGCCCAATCCGTACTTCTGATGCTGGGCTCCTAGGAGGGACTGGCCAATAGCAATTAGATGCACACATTTGTTGAATGAGTGAGATTTTGTGAGACCGAGCTTCAAAGTCTTTCTGAAAGTATTACCTTTGAAGTCTTGCCATAATGTGAACTTGGAAATTCAGACTTTGTTAATTTTTTTTTTAAGTCCCTAAGGGAATATATAGGAGATGGAGGAAGTCAAAGTGATCCATATTGCATATGGTAACTTAGTCTGACAAGAGCTTCAAGAATTACCTTAGCAGATAAGTGGGTTGTTTTTATGCTTGGAAATTGTTTATCCTTGGTCCAGGGGTATATCTCGGTGGTAGAGATCTTTCCTACCTGGAAAGAGGCCTTGGGTTTGATCCCCATCACTGCCAGGGTGGGAGGGGGGGATTATTTTTTTTTGTAAAATAACTACCAAATTCATAGCCTGTAGTTGAGTAAATAGTCTAGCTCTGTTAAATAAAATGAAGTAAGGGATAAGATTTGGTTAATATATTAGAGATGCCATTGTGTAAAACTTTGTAAGTAATAATTGATTTTTTTTTGTAAGTAATAATTGATTTTTTTTGTAAGTAATAATTGATTGAGAAACCAGTGAATCAGCTTGTTAGAGGATATACAGAGGGAAGACTCTGAAATTCTCTGAAGTAAAATGTACAGCCAACTTTAACATCTGTTGTAGCTCTTCAAAATCTTCATTTCTTTGGTTGTGTACAGTTGAGGCTCTGTTACATGGTAATTATAGAATAAACTCTAGCAAAACTTTTAGTAAGATGTCCAGGAACACTGAATTTGCTTCCACTCTGTTGAAATTACATTGCTAGCCTTCCAAGAGTAGGATGCAAACCAGCTTATACCCACCTCTCTAACTGATGTTTCCTTGTGCTGGATTAAGAACACCTAGATCTGGTGAGGACATTTAAATGCATATTTTGAGGATGAGTATAAGTTGAAATAAAAGTAATTGCTATTTGACCATAAAAAGCTGTGTAGAGCTCACATCTGGCTCTCCTGGTACTGAGTGAGTTCTCAGTAAGTTCTTTAGAACAGGTGGTTCTGGAAAGAAGATTGTTCTGATAGCAGAGTCTGTTTTCTTTTGAGGGTGGCTTTATATATATTTTTTCTCATTTTTATCTTTATTCTGCCCTATGAGGGAAATAAGTATTAGAATTTATACAGGAAGAAAATAGGTAACTTGTCCCAAGGTCACAGATGCCTTTAGAGCCAACTAGTGTAATCCCAACAACTTGGGAGGGTGAAGCAGGAGGATTCCAAATTCATGACCAGCCTTAGCAATTTAGCAAGACTGTCTCAAAAAAGGTCATGATGTAGGTCAGTAAGTAGTAAACTGCCCCTGGGTTAAATCCTCAGTACCAAAAAATTTAAAAAAATATATACATTTAGAGGCCAGATGTTTTGCTTTAAAGTCTTAGATTTATTCAATCAGCCTCTCCAGAAAATTATTTCTGTGGAGAACCACCTTCAGTTTTGGCAGTTGGGCTTTGAAACAAGCTCACAAAATAATTTTCCTGTAGACTGTGCTTGTTTAGTGAAAGATGCCAACACCTTTACAAATAGGTAACTGAAAATTGGTTAACTTTGAGCATATTTGCATATATATAGTTTGAACAGTGCAAAGATGAAGTCTCAATTCATATCCTGTAGTGGCAGGTTAGACAAATGACTGATTAAAAGGGAAGTACAGTAAGATAAAAGTGCTTTCAGGTGCTCTGGGATTCACATCCAAAGTGAGTCATTTCAGAATGCAGGAAAAGGACCAAGCATCCCAAACAGAGTAAGACTTGGGACTGTGGTCTATAATGCTACAGCTTGGGATACCAAAAAACAAGGAATAGTTAAAACATAGAGTGCCTTAAAATAAGGCTAAGGACTTGTTAGACAGGAAAGGAACTCTTAGTTTTGAACAAAGGACATTTAGAGTTTAGATTTATTTAAGCATGAATACACTAGCAAAATGCCAGCAAAATAGGAATACTGCCAAGATGAGAAATAGAAATGACTTGATCCTGGATGGAATCTAGGCACAGTTGCAAGAGAGACATTATCGGTCCTAAAATCTGACTACTACTCTGCCATTGGACTTGGTGCTGTAATTAGCTTTTAACCTCCCAGAGCCAGTGGCTGCATCTTCTGCAGATGGTCTGCTGTAATACTGAGTATATATTCATGGAAAATCTGAATTCTACAAAATCATAAAACAAAGACAAGGTAGTCTCAGAAAGCACTAATAAATAGTAACAGTACTAATTAGAATTATTAGTACAATTAAGCCTCCACTAGTACAATTAAAGTCTCCGTCTTTACACTTTAAATCAGTAGTTAGTCCACCCCTTTCATATATATACTCTGGGGCTAATGTTTCATTAAGATTAAATACTGTCCAAAGATAGCTTCCTCACACCCCTGCATCCCTTTATTGGTCTTGGGAATTGAACCCAGGTCCTCATACATGCTAGGTAAGTGCTCTACCACTGAGCAACCTCCCCACGCCTTTTTATTTTGAGAATTATTTTCTCACTGAATTGCTGAAGCTGGTTTCAAATTTGAGATCCTCCTGCCTCAGCCTTCCAAGTAGTTGGGATGACAGGCATGAGCCACCACACATGGCTAGTAACTTTTTTTTTTTTTTTTTGGTACCAGGGATTGAACCCAGGGGCACTTAATCACTGAGCCACATCCCTACCCCTTTTTTATATTTAGAGACAGGGTCTTGCTGAGTTGCTTAGGGCCTTACTAAGTTGCTGAGGCTGCCTTTGAACTCACCATCCTCTTGCCGATAGCCCTCCCAGACCTAAAAAAGGGCTGCTGTATAAGTCACTAACCAACTACCTTGTTTGAGGAAATGCACTTCTATAACATTTTCATCTCTTTTTTCCTTAGGGTCTTAGGTGTATCCTAGCCATTGTTAAACCTACAATCTTTTCAAATGACCGTTTGTGCATGGTGGATGTTCATCCCCTGCTGCTCACCTAATTTTGGTTAAATTCCTTTGAAATGGCTAACAATGATAGAAGTAGATTGTGTCAGAGTTTTTGTTTTTTGTTTTAATTGTTGTTGTTGTTTGGGGCTTTGCAGTGCTGGGGATTGAAACAGTGCTGCCGGGAGCACTATACCACTGCACCATATCCCTAGTCCTTTTTATTTTTGAGACAGGGACTTGTAAATAGCTGGGATTACAGGCATGTGCCATCATTACATTTCGAATGATGTTTTTCTGGTATTTGTCCAGGGCATGCAAAACAGGGTAAAGTAA